GTAGCAATATAGCCTTCCAAATTGCAGCATCTATTAAACGAGCACAATCATGTGACAAGGTTGGCAATGATTCCAACCCATCAATAGTTTGTGAAAAGGAGAATGAATTGTCTCCTAAAATTATTGCAGAAAAGCTAGTGGCGTCTTTAGATCCAACAGTGAATGGTCTTTCGATCAGGGCTTGCAATGGACATATTAATTTTTATGCTTCTAGTAAGCACTTTTCCCTGACCGGAGGTGGTAAAATTGCTTCCATTTCAAAAAAGTCTAGAATGGAGCATGATGTTGGAGGAAATGGTTTGATTGGTTCTCAAAATTGTCAAGTAAAAAGGCGAAAGCTCGAGATCCGTTTAAACAGATCCAGTTTTGATCCAGAAGAATTTGCTTTGTACAGAAGATATCAGCTCAAAGTACATAATGATAAACCACAAAATGTCACAGAGAACGCATATCGCATGTTTTTGGTTGATTCTCCATTATTACAAGTTTTTCCTAATGGTGATAGCACGATTCCTCCTTGTGGTTTTGGCTCTTTCCATCAACAATATCTAATAGATGGCCAGTTAGTGGCAGTTGGTGTTATAGATATCCTTCCTAAATGTTTGTCAAGTAAATATTTGTTCTGGGATCCAGATTTTGCCTTTCTATCACTGGGAAAGTACTCAGCGTTTCAAGAAATAGGTTGGGTGAAAGAAAACCAGGTTAATTGTCCTAGTTTACAATACTATTATCTTGGCTACTATATTCACTCTTGCAGCAAGATGAGATACAAAGCTGCATATCGCCCTTCAGAACTTCTATGCCCTCTTCGCTATCAGTAAGTTATTCCATTTCAGTGAGCTAATAAAACCACTTCTTCACCATGCTTACACTTTATTCTAGAATTTATAGAGCATTTAGTTTGTCCAAAACCCTTGGGTTTGCTATCAATTATATCCATTCTCCTCCTCTTTGACTACAAATCTTGGTGTAATCGCTTGAGGAATAAACAATGTAAAATGATAGTTGTATCTTTGTATTCTTCGGGTATATGTACACAGATCATACTATGTTTTCCCGTGAACTTTGATCACTTTTTCTCTGCTCCCTTGTCCCTATACATATTATACAAGTCTGACAGCAATGCACGACCTCCAGGTGGGTTCCATTTGATGTTGCAAGGCCTCTGCTTGATAGAAGACCTTATGTTGTATTATCAGATGCTTCCATTTCACAAAAAGGAGAGTCGTCCCTACCTCAAGTCACTGATGACATAATGGGAAGGGAGTTTGATGACGGTGGCCAAGAAGATGCAAATGATGTTCCAATGCTTGAAGATGAAGAAACAGTTGACTCCGAATCAGAATGCTCTGATGATGAACCTGACCTAGAAACTACTTCATATGATGAGCCAGAAATTGGTGATGTCAGCAAGGTTTTGCTGGGGATAAAGGGATCGCATGTGAAATACAAGGTATGCTTAATGGTTGTTGAATAAAAACCTCTATTACTTCCTGCACTTTAAGCACCTGATTGTTCTTAAAGAGCATATAACATTTTCCATTTTAACATGTTTGACTTGGCCATAATGGAAGTGCTTGATTAACGAATTTATCTCACTAATTTATAGCATTTTTTCAGACGCTATTTGAAATGGCGTTTGAAGATATGATAGAAGTTAAAAAGGAAGGAAATGGTGAAAATAACAATCTTCTTTCATCATTTTGGGTACAAATATTTGAAAAAAGAAAGTGAAAACATAACATTCCTGTAATTATTTGTAAAACATGAAATGAAAACAAATAATGCATTGTCAAACAGAACAGGATTACATGGGATACTATTCATTGATTTGGCAGACCTTTATGTTTAACAACAGGTAATTGCTGTATGATTTGTCCCTTTTCAGTCTGACTTTACTTTTGTCTACTTTTTTTCTTTGCATATACTGCCGTTTTTATTTCTGAAGGATCTACGGATTGCCTTGGATCCTGAGCAGCGAAGTTACTTGGAGTCACAATTGCGGAGATACAGGAAGGTTGTGGGTACAGTGCTATCTGAGCGAATGGTCTATTCTCTTGGATAATATAAATCTCAGTACTTGAATTTAATAAGAAGCTACTGCCAATCTCCTAGGGAAGGAAGGAAACCACTGCAAATATAATTCACGCGTTCTTCTCTGGGATAGTCTAATGATAATGGCAATAGCAATTGTGTGAGCCCTGAAGTTTTTGGTTAATGGATTGTTTCATTTTATATCTTGCTTAATCAAATTTCTCTTGTGTTTGCATAAATGGAGTTCAATGGTATTTACTTTCCGGTGCATTAGGTAAGGCTTTTTTTTTTCATGTATACTTAGTATATAACAAAAAAGAAGAAAAAATAATTCTTTTATAAGTAAATGTTAATTTTTGTATAAATTCTTGTGTAAAAGTTAATCTCGTTAATCTGTGCACAATCTAAATTTAGTTTATGAGAAAAATATATTCTTATGAGTACGTAGTAATGAGGAAGGAATGTCTTGCTGTGTTGGTATATTATGAAAGCATAGGCATAGGATTCATCCATGATCGTTAGATGATTAATTTATTCAATTAGTGATAGCAGTGGATTTAAGTTGAAATTTTTTTATTTAGGATGCTTTATTTGTTCTTTTAGTGGCTATATCATTAGAGAGAGTTAGTCAATGATCCAAAATGGGATATCGGAATTCCGTTTCTGGAACCACTTGTTTTTCTTTTTCCCCTGTTAGCTGGCAGGATCTGTGGGGGTTACTATCAATAACAATTCATTTTACTCCTTCTCTTATTTTATTTATTTATCTTTCTCTATCATTTCTTCATTCCATATTACACGTATTCTATATTTTTTTTCTCTATTTTATCCTTTCCACCTGCACGGGTAATATCCATGCTCCAAAAAGATAACATAGCGAGTCTAGTGGTGTATATTTTTTGTTTTTGAAATAAAATTAAATTATACTCAGTTTGAAAAATACTATATATTAAAAATTTTGTTAAATGATGAATTTTGTTTCGGGTATGGAACTGAGAATCATAACCGATACTTCTTCAGTTCTCTTATATCTTTTATTTCGTTATTAAGTTAATTTTAATTTTAAATTTGTAATAAATGTAATCTTTTATTTTTTTCATTTTTTTTATATATTTATAAGTTTTGATATGGATTTTTAATCAGGCTTAATCATGATCTAAAAAGATTCATAAATATGTTGAATTTGTAATATTAATACTTAATAATAAAATAATTGATTGACTTAAAAGATCTTTCAGCGTTTTTAGAAATGTTCATCTGGTCAACAAGAGATAGATAGGTCATATGATCCAAATTTAAAAAGACTTTCAAATTGTAATTAAACATTTTAAATCCTACTCTACTGGATTCATATGCAAATATTGGAACTTGTCAAACCAGTTATAATTATGTTAAGAAAATATGAGCTATGGATCATTAAAACAAGTACTTATTAACAAATTTATCCTTCTGTTAAAATCATTTTAACATTTAAATCAATTAAAAAACAAACTCGTTCTTAATTTATAAATTAAAAGTTTTCAAATTTGGTGTAAATATTTTTTTTCTTCAGCATCGACGAAGAAGTTGACTCTATATAATACACTATAGAAAAATGTGAGGTAATTTATATGAAATAATGTCTAAATAAACTGAATTTAATTTATAAAGAAGTTTATTTTATTTATTTATTTTCTTTTAAAAAACGTTTATGAATAAAATTGTGGAAAGATACATGAGATGAAACATCAGGGTCAATGGATGTTTAAGTAACAGTGACTTTTGCTTCATCTTGCATTCGTGGTGATGTGTTGTTGCTTGAGAAAACATTTTAAACTTTGTTACTCTAATCATTGATTTAAAACTTCTCATCACGTATGATTTAATGTAAATTGAAGTCCATGATGTTTGATTTAATGTAAATACCAGGTGACATTTCATTAACAACTTTATTTTTAAATATGATATATCTTTTAAAATATTAATAAATGTCAGTATTATTATTGTATTAAAATTTTCATAATACATTAAGCTTGTAATTTTTTTTCACTTCTTGATTATTAAGCATATTGACCCACCTGAAAAAGATTAGTCTTATGAGATTATTAAAGATATATTTGTATCTTGTTATACCATACATAGATAATTATATACAATATATATATATATATATATATATATATATATATATATATATATATATGCACAATAAATATGTTACATAAATATGAAGATCTTTCAAGTAAGCCAATTTGGGCCAATAATAGAGAAGTTTAGCTGTCTTTCAAGAACTTACAACAACATCGGTGTATCATGAGTCAAATTTTCAGGTTATGCAAGAAATATATATTATAAATTGTATAATCTAAAATATTTTTCTATGGAAATGTATTTCGAATTTTTTGAATATACAATTTATGATACATTTTTTTAAATCTAAAAATATATTTAAAATTGCATAATTTCGAAATACGTTATAAATTATACCATTTGAGAGTAATTTAGAATATGGATTATGCAATCCAAAATATTTTCAATCTATGGACAATTTGGATTTTCCTCACACCTATAGAGGTACAGGAAGAAACCAAGGAGGTGCTAAAAGAATTTTACCAAATAACATCTTAATGTCAGCTCAAATTAACATGAAATTCTAATTTCAATTTTTGAAAACCATACACAAGTAACTTAAATACATTCAAGTTTTCTCCTTTCAGTATATCGCACACAACCACTCATGCACTAAGACTAAGACACATCCGTTTAGGTCATTATACATTCAAACATATTCTACTTGGCATCAGAATTGATGAAAATCTGATTCAAGAAGAAACTAGAGTGAGTTCAGCCAACAAAGTTTTAGTTATACATTTTTGAAGCAGTCTTTTATTTCAGAACATTCAATTTAGTGAGAGTCATAATCAGGGCACTTGAAAGACTTTCTTCATCCAAATATGTGCTACAAATTAAAAAAACAGGATACATTAGAAGTTTGAATCAGTTTTTTTATTTTAAAATAAAGCACTAAACCAAGAATTAGATGTACTTAAATAATGTTATTGACAACAGAATTTGACAATGTGTTGTTTTTGTGAAATTTCCCCCATAAATCTAAACTCATTGAACAACACAGGGTTGAGGAATGTACAATTGTGAATGGTAGGATGACTAAGCATCATCTGCATCACTTCCACCAACATGTGCCTCATGACTGATCCAATAATTGCTTCCATCCGGACCTGACACTTTGTACCTGCTCAATAATAGACCTTATCTAAACCACTACATTTCTATTATATTATTATCAATGTTTTCTCACTACATTTCTACTAACCGTTCAAGCACGGATTTTCCTTCCTTGTACTTCTGGTTTTTTTCATAGGCAGTTTCCTGAAAAGCATCATTTGAGTAACTAAGAACTACATAGACACAGGCAAAATACCATCATGTTTGAAGCAGTGCTTCATAATCTTACATATTGCCAACCCACAATCGATCCACAACCCACACAGAAAATGTCAGCCACGGTATGTAACCCTGTGATCATCTGTCTGTCCTCCATTTCTCCAATAGAAACATTCACACTGACAAAGAATAAAAGTTTAAACTGTACCCGAGAAAAGAACCGACTGCAATATTATAATTTGACAGCTTTAAAGGTTCAAGAGCCAAGTAGTCATGAATAACTTAACTGTTATGGTTGCCAGTTTTCTTACACATGCTACACACAATCACTGAAACAGTTCACAAAACTGATAGCCGTAACGCAATGTTTTTGTCACGCATTTGTGATTCACACACAATTTTATAATTTCCAATATGATTAACGTGTACTAAACGCATACGAGAATTTACCAGTGGTAAGATGCGCAAAGTAAGGATAACTTACACCTTATTGAAGAGATAAGCTTTCCCATGTCTGCAGTGGAATGTCTGAATATAACAAAGGAAAAAATGATAGTCAGATAATGTGTTCTTATGAAAAAAAACTAAATTCAGAATTGGGGTCCAAGCAATAAAATCACATAAAAAATGAAAATATTAAGTTTTGGAGAAACTAAACTCTAGCAGCATTTGAAAGGTAATGTACTTCATATGACAATCTATTAGGTGCCCAGATAAGTGGCCCTTGTGAACCGATAGAAGCAAACTTATATCTGATATTACTTATAAATGCAGGTAACAAATTGCAACAATTGAAGATGCATCTATGCTAATGCAACCAAAGTCTGCCTAAACATAACTAAATACACTAGAGGTAACAAGTTGCAACATTTAAAGATGTGAAAGCCGATTGAGGTCTCCCTCCATTCTAGTCAGTAAACAGGAACCTTGAGTGGACACCAACCTACACTTGATTAATTAAAATGCTACACAAGTTACTAAACGCCATCAGCTTTCTCTAACCAAAATATAGTGCAAATTCTAATGGAGAGAAGAGAAATGTTACAAGTAGGAACACTCTTTGAAAAGGGGAAAGGATGTCTAAAACTCTATCACATTTATTTGCAACAAAATTTCAAAGAAATCGGATTCCAAATGGCTTTCTACAGTTTCCCTGTGAAATAGCCATGTCTCATCTCAGGAGAAGGTAAAATATCTTAAGGACATACATCATTTCACCGTATAAAGAAATCCAGAAATTTATCTGCTTTCTTCTGCACCATTTTCATAAAAAAAAAAATATCAGAAAAACACAGCAAGTATCAATGTATTATAGTTCAGAATTAGATAAGGGACAAATACCACACCTCTCTAGTCACTTCGGTCCATTTACTAAAACGATTGACAAACAAACATATAATAATCGAGATCCCCATGGCTTCAGGGGGGCATTAGTTGCTAAGTAAACAGTCTAAAACCAACAAAAGCATGACATGAGAAGTAATAACCATTTCAAAGGTTGTTACAGGCTAAGCGCCTTAACCAAACAATTGGGTAAAGAGGAACAAAATCTACATCTCCTTTAACAAAGAGTAACAAAATCCTTATCTCCACCCGAACACGTAACTACAGCTGTAAGTATGATTAGTTTTATCTCATAAGCAGTTAAGGGTAAATGAATACAATTTTATACAATTATCGAATTGTGTTTGCAACTAATGGTTATGCATGTTTTAGAAATGGCTATGGCTTATCAGAATCACGAAGTTATTGAAATGTCTGGTGCTAGTTAACTTGAGGGGTGGATTATTCTTTAACAAACCAACTCTGGTTAAGTCAAACATCAAATTTGGTAAAGCAATAGTCAATCAAGGAAACAGAAAAGCATTACACAGCATGACGATCCATTCGAATTTTCAACAGATGAATGAAGAAGAAGGGGATTGAAAATGTTATACCCAGAAAAGATATAGAGGAGAGAAAAGAGGAGAACGGATAAAGATGGAACCTTTGAGTAGATGTCATCGTAAAGAGCAAGATGGGTATGACAGTGTTTGCAGCTATAGATCTTCCCTTCCAGATTCACCACAAACAATCTCCCCATTAGTCTGCACAGTAAAGACAATTGGGATAAAGGAGAAAAAGGAACAAGAACAAGAGGAGAAGAATTGTTGAAGATTATTTACCTGTGTTGTGACAATTGCTACAATGTGTTTTTTAATATTTGTATTTTCATATTTTTGTGAAAGGCGATAAGGCATAGGACACTGGTAAGGTTGTTCATTTGTTGGTTGTTATATTTTATTTATTTTGTTCAATCGTTTATGATGCATGTAAGGAACATACCTAGCTACTTTACACACCTTACTTGCAGTTAAATAATACAAAGGGTGACGATCCTTTAAAAACATTATTTATTATTATTATTATTATTATTATTATTTGATTGATCTATCTTAATGGTTTATAATTATTATTATTAATTATTAAGTAATTTTAGATCCATCACACAACACGTAAATAATTTAAAATATTATAAAAAAAATGTTATTAAAGTATAATTATCCTAATATAAAATGATTCATTCACTTGTCATCATTATCAATCATAAACATAATAAATTTGGAAGTTAATAGAGGTTAGGTCATTCTACTCTAGATTTTAGAAAATTAAATTGTATATTTAAAAAATTCTTAATTAAAACTTTCTTAATGAAATGTGAATTAATATACTTGTATCTATAGGATTTAGTATATCATTAAAATATTAACTAACATAATACTTATATCGCACATTAACTTCTCAATAGTGTATATCTCCAATTAGATATACATGGTTTATCAGAGTAATACTATTTTAGTTGTTTTTAACAAACATTACAATATGTTAAATTTCACTTCATCAACTATAACACAAGTATAAAAATATGTATGAAGAAAACATGATAGATTTTATATTACTTAAGTGAACAATCAATATTTAATTGTGTCTAAACCTGTAATGAATAAATAGCCCACACTAACTCTCTCAGCTAAATGTGAAACCATTGTTTAGATAATAAGAATTCCAAATAAAAAACAATTATCTTAACATAAATCATTTAAACTGTAAAGTATCAACAAGAAATAATATTCTTTATGTAATAAAATCAACACTTGAACACTAATAATCTAAAATGAAATTATACAGGAAAACAATAAAATCCAGCACATTACACAAATCAAATATACAAATTCAATTTTACCATTTTAAAAATCTAAATTTTATTTTCAAATCCAACTATGAGTTTAAAAAACCCAAACCATAAAAACTAATACAATATTATGTTCGTGCAATTCAATTTACCTAACAAATTTTTAAGGTGAAGGAAAATGTTTTTATGTGTCTTCTTTTTTGAACAGCTACGAAATGATGATGTTTTAGGTATAATTTTTCTAAAGAATTTTAATAGACTTTAATAAGTAATAAAAACGTTACTTTATTTACTAAAAATATAATAACATTATTTTATTAATGTAATATTTAAGATAAAATCAAACAATATAAAAACACATAGATGCTAATAAGTAACCCAAAGAAAGCACCGTTTCAACGAAAGCAGCGCACTTCACACTACTTAATTGGACCCAATTAAATTTACATATTAATAAATAAAAATAATTAAAACATTATTTATATCAATTAAGTGATTAACATTTAAACTATATTTTAATAAAACATTACTTTTTTCCCTTCATATTCTTAAATAAAATTATTAACTTAAAATTAATTCTAATAATTTAAATTATTGTTGTATATTATTTCTTCATGTATCACAAAAAATTAATTAAAAAATTGAGTATGCTTATATGAGTTTTTCAGTGAAAAATTCAGGCAATCAACTTTATTATATGCTTATTTATTATTTAACGATTGACTTAAATACATTAAATCTAATTTAAAATGAATAATAAAATAAAAAATTTGGGGTGAACCGTGAAATCCATTTAAGAAAATTAGAAAATTGTAAAGTTGTTAGACAGGAGAAAAAAAAATAATAATAAAAATATTATTATAAAGCGTCTTGGTCCAAAGTTTACGTGATTTTAAATCAAAGTACTCAAGTCTTTTTTTAGGTTAGAGTTGTCTTATAAGGAAGATTCTTCTTAAAAAAAATTGGAGACTAATTATAAAATAGTAAAAAATAAACTCAAAACTTAGAATACTAAAAATTAAAGATATAACTCACAATTTGATTTGATTATGGGACAGTTTAATCCCTCAGATGTGAATGCCGAATTACTAATTAATCAGACATGACACCTGATAATTAGACTTTATCCTATCTATACATTGAAATCAGAAAAATGATAAGATATTAGATATAGAAACTAACGTGTCCCTAATTATTATAATAAAAATATATAATTAAAATATTAATATATTAGCGGTTAAATAAGGTTTTTTTTTTAAATCTCAAAATATAATTCCCAGTTAGTATAACGTTTTACAAGTTTCTTATTTCATTGATTATAGTTTCATCACCACCCACAAGTTCTTTTTGTTCGGTACGTATGATCTATAATCCATTCACAGTTGTGAATAATTAACTCAATCAACATAGAATTTATATTTTTCTTCTATATGATAAAAAATAAGGTATAATATTAATTCAAATTAACTTAATAACATCGTGCTACTGGTTTCTATCTCGTGTTCTATTGCGGTGAATAATTGTAAAGAACAAATAATAAGAGACATCGATCATGTTTCGTTTTAAAATCAAAGCAACGTAGGTTTCACCAAATTACTAGAAAATATCGAACAACAGGTAGAAACGTACATAACATTGGGCATGCTATTACAGGTAGCAGTTTTCATAGTTTGGGTGTCCCGAAAAGAATTAATAAAATTAGAGGAGTAAAGTTATATTATGTAATATATGTATGTCACTTGTTGAAGGTAGCAATAAAACTGATAGGACCTTTTCCAGTGACAGCAGCTTGAATGGCAAAGATGAGGAAGACGAGCATGGCCAAGCGGGAATGCTTGATCTCTGCAAGTTGAAGTCTGGCTTTTTCTTCAGGGTCGTTGGCCAAACCCAAAGGATCGAAGAACTTGCCTCCTGGGTACAACCTTTTCTCTGGGTCAAGTTCTGCGTTTCTTTGAAACTCAATGTATCCTATCACTATCACCTCGATCCATATCAGTGTTGTCAATGAAAACGGAAGTGGAAGTCCCAGGTAAGATGATCCTTCCACCAGCTCTACCTGAAACCAAATAACAACAATTTCATAACCCTTCTCTTTACCTTCTTCTTTTATCATCAACTCATCAAAATTACTTTATTTAGAGTATATAATTTCCGTCTTAAATTCAGAGTGAAGTTTGCTTTTACAATTTTTCTGTATTAAATCTAAAATTTGTAAAATATTATAATGATTTATTGAAAATATCTGGTGGCACTATGCATGTCAGTGGATTACAATAAGACACGTCTAAGGTATTTTCCTGTATTATGCTGTCACTGACATGGGGACACGCTACGTTGTCTGAAACTCATACGCACAATACAACAAAAACACCATCATCCCACAAAATAAAATAAGAAAATCAACATCTCCATGCAAATTCTATGGTCTTGTCAAAAAAGTTCACATTCCAAGTTTCCACACGCAGATAGATATCCTATCACTGTGTCGTTAACCAAAGGAGAATCGAACAAATCAAAATGTAAAATCATGCAAAAGAGTAATCAAAGTTCACGGCCATCAAATGTTCGATATCTTGGCTGACAAAAAAATAACTCCCAGTTTCTAAAGAATGGCGAAATCCAAGCAAAAGGGTATCGAAAAGAAGAATCAGTTTAAGGAAAGAGACATTAAAACGGTACCTTTCCGGCGTCTTGCCATGCGACTCCAGTGAGAGCCTCAACGGCCAAAGCACCGAGAGCACCCAGCATTGCCCACCTTCCGTGAATGACTTCGCACTCGCGGAACCTCTGAATCCCGAAAACCTCCGTGTAGGGCTGAAACGGCGTCGGTTTGACCTCTGCAACCTCCACCCTTGTTCCGATGATTTCGCCGGCGACGTTCTTCGCGAGGTTCTGATCCAGCGAGTCCAGGTCAAACTGCAGGTACTCCGCGGGCTTTGAGAATCCGAACGGATCGAACCCTCGGTCGCCGATCATGCTTCCGTCGAGCCACTCCGGTGGCTCTGCATTCGGGAACCACACCAGGCGGTCGCCGGAGGAGGGTTTCACTTTGACTTCCTTTTTCTTCGGCGGGGGCGGCGGCGCCTTCTTGGTGCCGAAGTTGAAGAGCGCGTGGAACCTTCCGGTGTTTAAGGTTGTTGGGCTGTAGAGACGGGTGCCGAAGAAGTATGATGTGGTGGCGGCGATGGAGGCCATATCGGTGTTTCGAAGAGTAGTGAGGTGTTGTTTATGGGTGGAAAAAGTGTGGGAAAAGGATGTTTATATACGAATATGGTTAAGTATGTTTTTTGGGTGTGGGTGAGGAGTGAGTGTGTGAGCATAAAATGTGGCTTATCTCTCAGCCTTATCTGCCATGGGTGTTCTTAGATGGTTGGTTGATTGCTGCTTCACATTTATTTTGTGGTCCTGGTGGAAAAACATCGTTTTTTTTACATTCACATTTTGTTGGTTTCCCTTGATTTTTTTTTTATACCTGCCAATTATTATTTATTTTTTACTTGCCAAATAAAAACAATCAATTCTTGTTTTAGCATGATCCGTACGTGAAAAATCTGAAATCACCATGTATCTACGATTTCAACTAAATTTTTACCTACAATAAAGCCGAGTTTGTGTATGACACGTTTACATACCTCACAGAAATTACTCGACATCATGTGTGATGTGAGTTTCTAGTACTTTAACTTTTGCAGTATTATTAGATGTTTGCATGAATACTCGCACCAGTAAAAAAAAAATCTTTAACTCTTACATTACGCTTAGATTTTTTTAAACTATCAGTGGCAATTTCGTAATTTTTATGAAATTATATGTCTCAGTTTAATTGGAACCGATGTCTAAAGAGTATACTGTCTCGGTTCTCTGACCAACTGAGGCAAAAAACTCTGCTTTCCTTTTGCAAATTAGCTTTTTCACCTGCCAACTTTTTCAAAATAAGCTTACTGTATCGGTTCTCTGACCAACTGAGGCAAAAAAACTCTGCTTTCCTTCTATAAATTAGCTTTTTCACCTGCCAACTTTTTCAAAATAGGCTTACTGTTTCGGTTCTGTGCAGAACCGAGGCAGTATGTCCTGTCAAAAGCTGACATCCTCTGGATCTGAACGTTTCAAATCAATTTTGTTAGCCTTTACTGCCTCGGTTCCATTTGAACCGATGTCATAAGACCTTTATGCCTCGGTTTAATCGCGA